TGAGGGAGGGAGTGGGGCTGGGGCAGGGGCTAACCAGCCAGGGTGGGCATGGGACAGAGGCACGGCTCATTGGGAGGGAGTGAGACCACAGGAAGGAAGGGGGATGAAGCTCCTGCCGCTGAGCACGGCTCATCCGGCACTCATCTGATAGCTACTGCCGCTCATCTGGGAGGGCATGGGGGGGTGCACCCCTGGATCTGCACGGGGCAGGGTGGGCTGGGCTCTTCTGGCTAGGCAGATCCGGGTCCACACCTCCCTCCATGCCCTCCCGGACAAGCGAAGGGAGCAGCAGCAGGAGCCTTCAGATGAGCACTGGATAAACTGTGTGCAGCAGCAGGAGCCATCCTCCTTCCCTTCCTATGCCCCCCTGCCCTTCCCACACCCTGCCCATGAACCGCACCTCCGTCCTGTGCCTGCCCCAGCCCCAGGCCACAGCTGCATCCCGCCCCACACTGCACAGATCCGGGGGGCACGTTCCCCCCCTGCACCTCCTGGACAAAACACTTGTGGCTGTCCCACACCTCTCCCTGCCCTGGCTGGTCAGTGCCTGCCCCTGCCCCAGCCACAGCCCCATTCCCTTCCTCACTGCAAGGGCCTTGATCTGCCCCCCCCCCTTCCATTGCATCAGACTTCCTGACTTCCCAGCTGTACACAGCGAATGGTAACAGCCAATATACCTCCTTAGAAATTGGCTATTGGTATTGATCCCAAAAATCTTGATTAGTTCACCCCTACAAATCAGGACTCAATTCAAATTCTGGTTCTTCAGTCTCCAAGGATTCTCTAGTCAAACAGTTGTCCTAGATAGCTCATTCCATGTTTAAAAAAACCCAGAAAAATGAAGCTATCTTGCCAGTAGCAGAGGAAATAAATCATACCATTACAGAACTGCGTCAATCTCCTACAGTATCAAGCTAACAAGAGAATCATTACTGAACTGCATGTTTGGAAGATCCCCCCCAAACACAATTCAAACAAGCCAAGTGTTAACTCTGTTTTTGAGTGAGTGGAACAGCCCTTATGAAAATTTACTACTTTTACAAATTCTAACCTTCTTGCATATATACTGAATGGGATCTGTCCAAAGAGCAGAAATTGCAACTTTTAACCTTATTTTTAGCAATGACATATAGCAAAATTCAGAAGTGAAATTTTTGGTTTTGCAATATAACTCATGTTTTCCTATGTATACACAGAGGAGGGAACTAATTTTCTAGCAATATTCAGAATTACTCAGCCATTTATTCTTTTCCATTTTTGCAGCTATTACTGTATATTGTTTAACAGAACATAAGGGCCAAGTACAAACAGTCAAAAAGCCTGAGACTGAATCAATTCAGTCTTTGCAGGTAAGTCTAAGCTGCACATATTGAACCAGCAAGCAGGCAAACAGACATTCACTTTCAATTCTGGAAATGCAGGCACATCTCTTCAGTGACTCAAGCCAGAGGCCAGGAGGGGTGCCGGAGCATACTTCCCAGCCGGCCAGTTCCAACCCCCTCTCCCTCCCCAGGTATCCTTGCTGAAGCGGAGGGGACGTGACCAAGCCCTAGTGCAGAGCTAACTATAGAGTCTGCCGGGTTGGGGGGGAGCGCTGACAACGACCCTGTGGAGTCCTGCTATCTGTGATCATGGACTACAAAAATCCCAGAGGCACCTGGAATCAGGAAGAGGAAATGATGAGCAACCCTGCAGAGTCCTGCTGCTGTTACTCTGGACTGCAAATTCCAGAGACCTTGGGGGCAGCAGGAAGAGGAAGTGAACACACAGCCTATGCTGGGGGACTGTGATTTAACTTGAACCAGGAAGGGGTCTGGGACAGAAGTTTCATAAACTGGTTTAACCTAAATCAGTTAAGTCTGATACTACATTCAACCAGATTCATCTTAAACCAGTTTCTGCCATTTTGAAACTGGTTTATGTGCACTGACCTTCTGTTTTGTCACAGGTTTTAAACCAGTTTCTGAAAACTTGAACCAATTTATGTGCAACTTCTGTCCCTAGCCAAGGTTAGTAACTTGATATTTGCTAAAATGTTAAGCACTGTAAGGCAACTATTCAATCCATTCACAATTCAGTCTAAGCACATAAAGTTCAAACTCAATTCATACTTGGGATTTAAAAAAAACCCGAGACATTTTGTTATGTTTTGAAACATGATACTTTGCCTCTCAACTTCCAATTATTTGATCTGTTATGTACCCTGAATTACTTCATCAGGGTATTGCTGATGGGAATTGGGAAGTCCAACTCAACTATGTCAGCTAGTTCTCTTTTATCCACTATTTTAATTAACACAATCTATTAGATTAGCAAAGTATAATTTCCCTTTCCTGAAATTGCACTGTACTGATCTTCTAGGTATTCCAGGTATCTTTTAAATTATGGTTTAATCAACTACCAGATAAATAAGACTTAGTGTTTAAATCTCCCGATCACCCTGTGAGCCCTTTTTAAATATACCCATGTCATTCAGCACTAGCTAATCTGTGTTTAGTTTATACAGTGAATGGAAAGAAAATTAACTTAAAAAAACCACAAGTTTGCTAGCACATTGTGCATATTATGTATACAAAGCACACGTAATTGCAGTTTATATTAATACAGATATGCAAACAAATGTGCATATTAAGCACACATATTATGTTCAGTTATTTCAGTGTATATTCTTCATAAAAAGTGACTTAGCTAGTAGTTGTGTATCAGGCCAGGTAATGTTTGTTCCATGAATTCCATTGTTACAAAATGTTTTCCTTCAATCTTGTTTTAAATGCTTTGCCTGTATGGTTTGCTAAGCTACTACAGGTGGACCTGCAATCTACAGAAGTAGCGAACTAAAGCACTGTCACAGAGAATGCCACTGAACAAAAGAGGCATTCTTGCTGTGCACTGTAGTGTAACTCAACATTAAAACTAACACTGTAAAATATTCAGTACCCTGAAAAGCCATGTTAACCTCGAGACCTCAAAGACGCTCTTATAAAAAGACACAGAAACTCAGCACTATTTAAAACAAACAAAAAGCCACAAA